CCTGAGTAGCTGGGATTACAGGCATGCACCACCATGCCTAGCTAATATTTTGTATTTTTAGTAGAGACGGGGTTTCACCATGTTGACCAGGATGGTCTTGATCTCTTGACCTCGTGATCTACCCGCCTCGGCCTCCCAAAGTGCTAGGATTACAGGCTTGAGCCACCGCGCCCGGCTTAATTCGTAATTTTAAACCCTTTTACACTAAGGATGGAATTTCATTCAAAAAAGCTATTAAAAATCAGCCCAAATACAATTTAAAGGTATAGAAGTACACGTTCTTAAATGAAAACAGGTTGGAAAATAGTGTAATTGCAGTTTTGAGAGTAAACCATGGAACAAAAAGTGAACATACCTCTGTATACCTCTATTAGAAATGACGTAAAGGGCCAGGCCCTGTGGCTCACGCCTGTTAATCCTGGCACTTTGGAGGCCCATGCGGGTGGATCACCTGAGGTGAGGAGTTTGAGACCAGCCGAGCCAACATGGTGAAACCCCGTCTCCACTAAAAATACAAAAATTGGTTGGGCGTGGTGGTGTGCGCCTGTAATTCCAGCTATTCCGGACCCTGAGGCAGGAGAATTACTTGAACTGGGGAGGCGGAGTTTGCAGGGAGCCAAGATTCGACCACTGCACTCTAGCCTGTATGACAGAGGAAGAATCTGTCTTTAAAAAAAAAAAAAGAAAAGAAAGGATAGTCATAGTTATAAAAGTGATTAGTCACTACAAATGATTTTTTCTTGTACTTTACTGTATTTTTCAAGCTTTCTGTAGAAAAACGTTAAAAAAAGGATGCAAGTGTTAACAGCATTTTGAGAGTTTGTATACCCTTTTTTCACTTTCTAGTGGAAAGTTCCCCACCCCCATGCAAAAGAAAAATACAGCAATTCCAGTTATGAATGCAATGTATATTGCTTTAGAAAGAAAATAAGGGCCTAGTGCGGTGGCTCGCGACTGTAATCCCAGCACTTTGGGAGGCCGAGGTGGGCGGATCGCCTGAGGTCAGAAGTTGGAGACCAACCTGGCCAACATGGCACAACCCCGTCTCTACTAAAAATAGAAAAGTTAGCCAGGTATGGTGGTAGGCGCCTGTAATCCCGGCCTTTTGGGAAGCTAAGGCGGAAGTTGCAGTGAGCTGAGATCGCACCACTGCACTCCAGCCTAGGTGACAAAATAAGATTGTCTCAAAAAAAAAAAGAAAAGAAAAAACAATCAACAACAGTAGAAAACACGGAGTCCCTGTTGCTGCATCTGCAGACTGTATGAAAGTGTATTTGAAGGATAGGGACAAGAAATGAATTAGTTGGACTGGGAAAAAAACCAAATTTGACAATTCGTAGCATTTGTACATCTCATTTTATTTTTTGTAGACGACGTCTGGCTCTATCACCCAGGCTGGAGTGCAGTAGTGTGTGATCATGACTCACTGCAGCCGTGACCTCCTGGGGTCTAGTGATCCTCCCAACCCAGCCTTCTAAGTAGCTGGGGCCACAGACACATGCCACCAGACCTTGCTGTTTTTTTTTTAAGATGGAATCTCGCTCTATTGTCCTGGCTGGAGTATGGTGGCACAATCTTGGCTCACTGCAACCTCTGCCTCCCTGGTTCAAGCATTATTCTGCCTCAGCCTCCGGGTAGCTGGGATTACAGACATGTGCCGCCATGCCAGGCTAATTTTTGTATTTTTAATAGAGATTGGGTTTTGCCACGTTAGCCAGGCTGGTCTTGAACTCCTGGCTTCAAGTGATTCATCCGCCTTGGCCTCCTCAAGTGCTGGGATTACCCAAAGTGCTGGTATTACAGGTGTGAACCACCTCACTCGGCATAACTTGAATTTTTTTTTTTTTTTTTTTGAGACAGTCTTGCTGTGTCGCCCAGCCTGGCGTGCAGTGGCGCAGTCTCAGCTCACTGCATCCTCCACCTCCTGGGTTCGAGCGATTCTCCTGCCTCATCCTCCTGAGTAGCTGGGATTATAGGCACACACCACTATGCCTGGCTGATTTTTGTATTTTTAATAGAGGTGGGGTTTCACCATGATGACCAGGATGATCTTGATCTCCTGACCTCGTGATCCACTCTCCTTGGCCTCCGAAAGTGCTGGAATTACAGGTGTGAGCCACTGCGCGTGGCCCTAAATTTTTAAATTTTATGTAGAGACAGGGTCTTGCTATGTTGCATAGGCTGGTATCTATGAACTCCTGGGCTCAAGCTATTTTCCTGCCTTAGCCTCCCAGAGTGCTGGATTCAGGCATGAGAGCTCCATGCCTGGCCTATACATCCCATCTTTTGATCTGGTTTCTTTGTACCTTGTATAGTGAAATCAGAGGCAAAAGTGCTTAGCTTTTCTTCACTTAAGGCTGGACAGTTGAATCACTTTGAGTACCATGTTTTATATGTCTGATATTTTGGCTTATGTCTATTTTTGTTTTATTTTTTGATGTGGTTATGTTGGATATGGACTGGTTAGTAGCATAATCTTTGGTTAGCCCACATTTTGTTTCTGTCGTAAATGGCTGCATTGTTCTTTCATAGTAATACACAGTAATTTTTTTTTTTTTTTTTGCTACTGTCATCCCTTAAAAATTAAGGAGGTTTACCTTAACACCAAGTGTCCGTGAACTCTTGATAAAATATCTGTTCTAAAGTGTTTTAGAAAAAGCACTTCAACACTTTGTTGTTTTTCAGGTTGTAGTGTTCACACTTTATTTTCTTAGATTGCCTTTTTTGGAGCTTGCCTTCTCCAAATGTCAATTTCTTTCCAATACTTTTTACTTTATAATTTTGTATATTCTGTGTACTGTGTTGGCTCAATACATTATTAGGCTTTGGTCCATTCATAGGGCATAAGGAAAATTCATAATTGATTAACATGTCTGATTTACTAACTCCTTCCACAATGTTGTTGTATGGGTTGCATAATTGTATTCTTACTCAAGTTAAATAAAGGTTTTAAAAAATTAGGTGCATATGAACTGCTAAAATCATGGAAGGAGGAGTTTTTGAACATGTTAAGAACATGAACATAGCAGCAAGGCCTGTTAAGCCCAGGGTACTTTAAACAAAAAATGCAGACTCATCTAACAATGCAGAACTGCTAGAGGCTGAATTATTTTTGTGTTTCTATGTGGTGAAGATGAGGAAGTTGCAGTATTCTAAGTAATAAAGGATTACGTTTTCACCAGATTCTTTCCTGACAGTTCTGTAATTTTGACTAAACTAAAACACTTGGTTTCAAAGGTGATTTGGAGTGTATCACACCAGATAATCTTGGCCATATTTTCTTTCAACTTGAATTCTAAGATGAAATTCAACCTTGTAATATGGGAAACATTGCAATTAAGTGATAAAGGAATTTTTTCCCCCAAAGGGTATTAAATGTGTGGAAAGCTCTTTAAGGGCCTGTAGAATTAGGTGAGGAAGTATTAGCAAATAAGAAGTGTGAGTTAAATATTTTTTTCTGTCGTCACAGGAAGCCAGAATTTTTTTTTTTTTTTAGTATTTCTCCAAATCACTGTTCTTTTAAAATCTTAGTTCTGGTTCATATTGCCACCATGTTGAAATGTAAAAAGAACATTGGATTGGGAATCAGAGGATTTTTAATGAGGTTGAGAAGTAATTATTTATAATTTTCTGTTTCCAAAGTTATAATTTTCATTTCCAAATGAAAATGAAAAAGCTGTGTTCCTGCAACTCTTAAACCTATGGCAGCTTCTACTTCTCTAATCTACCAGTTCTCAAACATTTTCCCTGCCTCAGTACACCTAAAAGACGAAAAAAAAAATCTACTCATGTGAAGTATTACTGTACTGCATAAGTGCCATTTACATAAAGCACTTATGTATTTT